TGTTAAGTGTGAATTCCATGACATTCAACAATGACAATAGGAAGTGAAGAAATGGGTGCTCAGAGAGGGAGGTAAATTGTTCAAGGTCGTACAGTAAGTCCAACACTAGTGTTTTTCACGCTGCCATCTTACTTCCCCTTATTTTGTCTAGAATCTCACTGGACTGGGTCTGGGGAGGGATGAGCAGCCGACTCTGGGCAGCCTCCCATGGACGGTGAAGACGCCCTGTCCCTTTTCTTTGCTGTATCTCAGTTGGTTTTCTCAAAGGTGGTGAAGTGCTCAGCTGCGAACCAAAAGGACAGTTGTTTGTGTCCACCAGCCACTTTGCAGGAGAAATCTGTGGCAGTCTGCTCCCTTAAAGACAACAGCTTTGGGGACCCTATGGGGCAGTTCTATCTTGTCCTACAATGTCTCTGGGTACCCACGTCTTCTCAACAGCAATGGGTTTAAAGTGGATGAACATTTGACCATCCAGTAACAGCGACCAATGATGAGTGATAGCAAGGAATGATGGTCACACTGGCTTTTGATTTGTCAATGTTTCCCCAGTGTTTGCTGCGCATCTCCAAACCATCTTTGCTCTCTAGAAACTGACTCCAGGGCCCAGGGGTTGCCTCTGGGTCAGAATGGTTACCATAGAGACCTCTTTGTATCCCAGATAATTCCTCAAGCTGACAGAATATGGCAGACCCCTAGGTCTGAAGCCTTTTCACCAGGAAGGATCTCTGGCATGAACACAAAATTTCCAGGTTTTGAAAAGGCATCAATCCAAGGAGCAGAGAAATGTTACCTTGTTTTAAAACACAGTACAATTCTCTATAAACGGATGTGGAGGCGGTGGTATTGAGAGTGATTTCCTCACACTGTTTCTGGGAAATTGAATGCTTTTTTGCATTGATTTGTTTTAACCTTGCAGTATCTTCTTATTTACAAAATGCTTTGTCCATGCAGTTGCTGTATTTGGAGTCTTTTGTACTAGAACTTTTAAACTTTGCTTAGCAAAGTTGTGCAAAATGCAAACTGCAGAGGGACATTGAAAAACATACTGGTAGATTCTGTGTTAAGCTGACGGTTCCTCTTTCCTAGAGGTACACTTGCTATTTATGACAATCGTAACTTTAGAGTAAGATGTGGTTTGAAGCCATGTCAGAGGAAGGACATTTCTGAAGTGATCTATGTGATTTTCCTTATAGAGGAAAGACTTAGAGAGACCGCTGATGCATGGCAGAGTCAAACAGCTCCACAGGGTTTTCATGGCTGTGACCTTTCAGAAGAGGATAGCCAGGCCTTTCTTCTGACATGCCTCTAGATCTGTTTGAACCACAAATCTTTCTTTTAGTAGTTGAATGCTTAGCTATTCTGACACCTAGGGATTTCAGTGAGAATCTTCTTGACAGCAACTTTTTCTTTCTTTTTTCCAACAGAGGAAAAAAGAGTTTCAGGGTAGTACAAGTGATTATCACTTGACAGCTAACAAATTTATCGTAAGTTTGAGTCCACCTAGGAGCACCTTGGAAGAAAGGTTTGGCAATCTACTTCAGAAAACAAACAGCCACATGGAGCACAGTTCTACTCTGATACATACGGTGTTGCTCTGAATTGGAGTGAACTAGATGGCAGCTGGTTTGTTTCTTTCCTTTAGAGAGGGAGGGAGGGAGTAGTCTTCATGGTACTGGCTCTCCTGGCACACACTGTTGGTGTTATTAGGTACCATCAAGTCAATCCCATGTGATAGCAACCTTATATGATGCAGTAGACTGGCCCTGTAGGATTTCCTAGGCTGTAATCTTTATGGGAACCAATAGATCCGTTTTGGAAGAAGTGCAGCCAGAGTGCTCCTTAGAGGCCAAGATGGCCAAATTTCATCTCTCATACTTTGGACATATTGTCAGGAGGGACCAGTCACTGGAGAAGGATATCATGTTTGGTAAAGTGGAGGGTCAGAGATAAAGAGGAAGACCCTCAGCGAGATGGATTAGCAAAGTGGCAGCATGGATGGACTCAAGCGTGGCAACAGTAGTGAGGTTGGCCCAGAATCTGACAGTGTTTCATTCTACTGTGCATAAGGTCACTATGGGTCAGTTCCGACTCGATGGCACCTAACAACAACAACAATCTTTATGGGAGCCAATCTCCAGGACTTTCTCCCATGGAGTCACTAGCTGGGTTTAAAACACCAACTTTTTGGTTAGCAGTTGGAGCATTAAACTATTGAATCACCCTGTTATTTTCTACCTTTCACCTTGTTGTTATCGTTAAATGCCGTTGAGTCAATTCCAACTTATATCAATCCTGTATAGGGTTTCTGAGGAGCAGCTGGTGAGCTTGAACCCCTGACCTTGTAGTTCAAACCGATCTTGTTGTCCAGCACATTAACCCACAGCGCCACACCAGGAATCACCTTCATGGTGGTTAAATGTGCCGTGGAGTTGGTTCCGACTCATAATGACCCTGTGTTGAGTTTCTGAGGCTGTAAATCTTTATGGGGGAGCAGAAAGCCTCATCTTTCTCCCACAAACAGCTGGTAGTTTCGAACAACTGACCTTGAGGTTAGCAGCCTGACTCGTAACCACTATGCTAACAGAGCTCAGGAATCACCTTCCTAAGGTTTAAAAACTACGGAGGCCTGACCATTCCTCCAGAGAGTCTAACTTAAGTTGGCTTGGGCTGTGGCCAATGAGTTCTGGTGGCACGGTAGTTAAAGCTCTTGACTGCTACCCAAAAGGTTAGCAGTTCAAACCCACCAGCCTCTCTGTGGGAGAACGCTGTGGCACTCAGCTTTTCATGAACATTTACGGTTGGGGCAGATCAGCTCTGTCATAAAAGTTTGCTATGCGTCAGAAATGATTCAGTGCAAGCGGGTTTGATTTTTGTCTCTTTTTGGTGGGTTTAGCCAGATGGTTGTGATGCGTGGCTAGACCCCCTGTGTGAAAAGGTCAACAGATAAACATCTAGCCTAAGTGTGTAGGAAACAATTCCAGTATCTTCACTGTGTATAAGACACTGTACTTTGAAGGAAGCCTGGTGTCCCTGTGGGTTAGGTGGTGGACTGCTACCCACAAGCTTGGTGGTTCAAACTCACCAGCACCTCTGCAGGAGAATGATGAAGTTGTCTGTTCCCAAAAAGATTTACAACCTCACAGACCCTCTCTATCAGGGATGGGGAACCTTTTTCCTGCCAAGGGCCATTTGGATCATTTGCAGACTATACAAAATTATTAACTTAAAAATTAGCCTGCTAGGAGTCCTGGTGTGATGCTTGGGTTAATGTGTCAGACTGCAAAGTCGTTTGAACTGCAAGGTTGGTGGTTCAAGTTCACCAGCTGCTCCTTGGAAACCCTATACAGGGTCGCTATGGGTCGGCATCGACTTGATGGCACTTAACAACATCAAATATTTGGTCAAACATTTAATTAAGTCACCCCCTATACAGGGTTGCTATGAATCCAAACTGACTCCACGGCACTTAACAACAGTTGGTTGCTGAAATTGTGGTTGCCTCGGTAGGGCGAGACCAAATGATTCTTCAGGCCTGATATGGCCGATGGAGACCTAGTGTGACGTTGCTGGCCCATGCACTAGACTGCAAAGTTGGTTTGAATCTCAAGGTCAGAGGTTCAAGCTCACCAGTTGCTCCTTGGAAACCTTATACAGGGTCGCTATGGGTCAGAATCGACTTGATGGCATTTCACAACAATACTGCCCTTGGACCAGGCGTACCTCACTCCTGCTACACAACAGTTGCCATGGGTCAGAATTGACTTCAGGGCAGTGGGTTTGGATGTTTTAGTGGCACTTTTAAGAAAGAAACAAGTCAGCTTGGATTTCTGGGGATGGGGCTTGGGCATTAGTAATTTAAAAAGAAGTATTCCAGGTGATTCTAATATGAAGTCAGACTAAAGAGCGGGCTGCGGGCTGTTTAAATCAATTTAGGAATTGCCCATGCAATTGAGAAGATTTCTGGACTTTTCTTTAGGAGGGAATCTGCATTTTATAGCAGAGCCTGGAAGAGGCATTTCTACCACTGTTGTCAAACAGCTCACAGGAGACATGAATGAGGGACATCCAGACCAGGTGGGACAGTGACCGGGAGGCTGTGCTGGGTCATGTGGGGACACTTTGACCTTAACAGCGACAGTACGCAGGCGCTGCTCCGGACTCCGTCTTTGCTGTATATCCATGCTCATTACATCTTTGGCCATTATTTCACAAGCTCATAAGTAAGGAGTCCTGGTGTGGTGCTGTAAGATAAGCACTAGACTGCAAGGTCAGTTTATACTGTAAGGTTGGTGGTTCAAACTCACCAGCTGCTCCTCAGAAACGCTATACAGGGTTGCTGTGAGTCGAAACCCACTCCAAGGCACTTAACAACAGGAAAATAAGTATGGTTGGTTAAGGGCTGAGCAGGGTGAGTAAAAAAAATGATCTTATGCCCAAGAAATGCCTTATTTTCAGCTATAGAGTTCTTCGAGAGCCGAGGCTCCTATCCGATTAAATTGTAGCATTTCCAGAAGAAATTTAACAGCCTGTGTAAGGGAAGGTAGAATTAGTGTTCCAAAATAAAGTGTCCTCCTTTTTCCACTTCAGTAGAGCAAAAACAAACAAACAAAAAATCCCACAAAAACATTAGAACAAATAATTTATCAGGTGGTGCAAATGGTTAATCAGTTAGCAACTAATCATAGGATTGGTGGTTTGAATTTACCCAGCGGTGCTTCAGAAGTAAAACCTGGCAATCTGCTACTGAAAGGTCAAACATCTAGGAGAGCATTTACATCCTTTTGTCAAACCTTGAGGTTAACTTGACAAAAATGCTTTTTGTTTTAAATGATTGCAGAGAGGAAAGCTTATTCAAGGACTCAAACCTGTTAAAAATAGCATGAAAAAGAAAAAAAAAAAAAGCCAACCAGCTTCTAGGAGGTCTTTTGAGTGGAATGACTTTAATGGAAATGACCTACAGTGACTATAATGAACAGCGTCCACGTACCGGGCTGCCCAGATCAAGTGGACGGAGCCTGTGGCTGGACGCCAGGCCTGGCTTTCATGGACCTGTCTATCCACTTGAGGAAGGAGCTGACTTTGGTATAGATGCCATATTTGCCTTTCCTGGCGCATCCTTCTCCCCAGCTGACTATCCCAGTGACAAAATAGACATCTCTGAATCGAGTGACATGAGGACCCCCACTGTCTCCCTGACAGGCGTCTTTAGGTTTCGTGTCGTAGCCTGCGCAGAACATGTTCTGAGTGATTGTAAAACTACTCGACAGTTTGCAGGTGTTTCGGTCCACATAGGGCACTTCTAGCATTTTGAGGGTGGTGGACGGGCGAGCCTTCTCATGAGTCTTCCCGAACCCACTGATAATCCCTGTTTTCTGAGTCATCAGTGTAGATTCAGCCCAGTCCTTCTCCGGTAGGCAGGCAGGAGCCACGTTCATCCGGAATGTGATGGGCGTCTTCAGTTTTATGACGGCGATGTCAAAGTCATAGGTTTCTTGGACAAATTTGTTGTGTTTTATTATCAGCTCCACATCGTGTGCCATTTCATTGCCTTCCTCCTTTTCAGTGTTCAGATCACCTGGGACATGATTAAAAACAGAATGAGACTTAGTTCTGGTGGTGGGGTGGCATATTTAGCACCCTTGGGTGGTGTAAATAATTCCTGCACTCCGCTGCCAACCAAAGCATTGATGGTTTGAGTCTACGTACAGGTGCATCAGAAGAAAGGTCTGGTGACCTACATCCCAAAAAATCAGTCACTAGCAATTCTGTGGAGCACAGTTCTATTCTGACACACATGGGGTGGATGTGAATCAGAAGCAACTTGACAGCAACTGTTTTTGCGTGTGTTCATGTGTGGTTTTTGTAATTTAAACATTGTTACTTTTTAAAGAAGTTAATTTTTTTCTTTCACATTAAAAAGTGGTAGTCATTTTAGAAGGAGTTTTGTTGTGGTGCTGCAGGTTAATGCGCTGGACTGTAAGATTGGTTTGAATCACAAGGTCAGAGGTTCAAGCTCACCAGCTGCTCCTTGAAAACCCTATACATGGTCGCTATGGGTTGAAACCAACTAGATGGCACTTAACAACAACAGTCACTTTAGAAAGTTTGAAAAACACAGAAGGCATAAAGAAGCAAGTAAAAATGAACTTTGAATTTCACTACCCAGGACTATACATCATTGACATTTTTATATATATATGCTTACTACTTTGTTGTTGTTGTTAAGTGCCATCGAGTTGATTCCGACCCATAGCGACCCTATATAGGGTTTCCAAGAAGCAGCTGGTGAGCTTGAACCACTGACCTTGAAGTTCAACAACTTTGCAGTGTGACACATTAGCCCACAGCGCCACACAAGGGTTCTGTTTAGTACTTTACATACTTTCAATTCATTCTTTCAACAAATATTGTCTGAAATGTTTCATGTACCAGGCACTGTACTAGGTGCCTGCCCTAAACAGGCTTATATTCTAGATATTAGTATATTATTCTATTCTTGATATTCTATATCCTGCGCAGTCCAATAAGGTAGTCACTAGCACTTGAAGTGTGGTTGTCTGACCTGAAATACACTGAGTGTAAAATTTCAAAACTTTGCATGAGGAAAAGAATGCTAAGCATCTCATTTATACTTAAAAAATTGGATTACGTGTTTTGGATGTTGTTGCTGTTAAGTGATGTCGAGTCAGTTCTGACTCATAGCGGTCCTGTATATGGTTTCCGAGGAGCAACTGGTGGATTTGAACTTCCAATTTTGAGGTTAGCAGTCAAGTGCTTAACCATTGTATCACTGGGGCTCCTGATTTGTAAGGTTTCCTGGTCTCTATAAACATATAATGGAACCCTGGTGTGGCGCTGTGGGCTAATGCATCAGGCTGCAAAGTCATTTGAACTGCAAAGTCAGTGGTTCAAGCTTACCAGCTGCTCCTTGGAAACCCTATACAGGGTCACTATGGGTCAGAATTGACTCGACGGCACTTAACAACAACAACAACAACATAAACATACAATGGAGTCCTGGTGTGGTGCTGTGGGTTAATGCGTTGGAATGCAAGGTCAGTTTGAACTTCAAAGACGGTGGTTCAAGCTCACCAGCCACTCCTTGGAAACCCTATACAGGGTTGCTATGGGTCAGAACCAACTCGATGGCACTTAACAACAACAACAACAACATAAAGATAAAGGACTGCTGGTATGGCTCCATAGGATGAACAATGGACTGCTAACCATAAGGTTGGCAGTTCAAACCCACCAGCTTCTCCTCAGAAACCCTATACAGGATTACGATGAGTTGGAACTGACTCCATGGCACTTGACAGCAACAATATAAAAATATAGAGACAAAGTGACTGCCCCTCTCCGTGGTAGCCAGGAAGAGTGCTGGAGGACCACTTACCTACTCTCACCTTGAATCTTTTGGCTTGCTGGAGACAGTGAGCCGCAGTGAGGATGTAGTATTCATTCAGAATGGTTCCTCCACAAAACCCTTCATTTTCCTCATTTATGAGTAGTGCCTATAATGGGAAAGTTGGTGATTCCAGGCTTGCATTTGCCAAACCAAGTGAAAGCCTAGAAACAGGTTAGCATGCCAAAGCAGATGAGGTCATGTTTGAATTTCGGAGACGAGGAGTGGAAAAGAGCCTTTAGACCCAAAGTCCTCTTCATGTGGACTTGCCGCTGTCTCCTGACTCACAGTGGTCTCCTCACTGTTCACTCCATACCTGCCAGGCTGGTCTGCCACCAGTAAGATCTTCCCTTCCTGTCCACCCTCCCCTCTGCTGTCCTTCCCTGATTTGGTGTCTTCTTGCTTCTGGAATCAGACTTTGGTTATATTAGAATGCAACGTCCAAACCTCCTCACTGCCCCCTGTCCACCACCCATTTAGTGCTTTCCTTGTTGGCCCCCCCCAGGTTCCAGCCCAGCAGACCCTTTCTGACTTTTCAATCGCTGTGCCCATTCTTGGGTACCCCATCGACTGTCCCTACCTGCGCTGTCCTCTGAGCCAACGGCTCGGAGCCTTATCCCAGCCCCTTATCCCACTCTTGAAATCTCCACAGTGTGGGTTTAGATGGCCCCATCACACTGCCTTGCCATTGCTTTATGGGCCAAACAGTTGGCTTATTGATCTGTTTATTCAGCTTTATTGAGGTCCTATTAAGTGCCAGGTCACCTGAGCATGGTCCCTTCATGTCTAACCTACATCTTTCTCCACTTGGGCTACAAACTCACTTTGACTGGGATTTGGTTTTTATTTCTTCTGAGTCTGTCATTGTATTTCTAAAGTGCTATGAACATTTCTCAAATATTTTGGAAAACATTTTTTCTTGCTCTGGTGGGGGTATAGTGGGTTACACGTTGGGCTACTACACCCCAAGTTCAGCTGTTCAAGTCCACCAGCACTCCACGGGAAAAAGATGAGACTTTCTGTTTCTATAATGATTTATTGCCTCAGAAATACTATTCAGGCTTGCTGTGAGTTGCACACAACCACCACCGTGATAATCACCTTTATACACCAGACCAGGCACATGCCAGTCTTTGGAGAAAATATTTGCCGAAACTGGCTTGACATCATGGTGTCTGAATTGGTTTAGCTGTTCAAACCTTCTTTCATGGTGCAAGAATACCACCCTTAAAGGTTAACTTCTTTGGAATCCTTGTACATGTTTTTCTTCCTAAACAGTAGTTATATGCCGTGGAGTCAGTTCTGACCCGTAGCGACCCTGTACAGGGTTTCTGAGGCTGTAAATCTTTACAGGAGCAGAAAGCCTCATCTTTCTCCCAAGGAACAGCTGGTAGTTTCGAACTGCTGATCTTGAGGTTTGCAGCCCAATTCGTAACCACTATGCTATCAGAGCTCCTGAACAGATGTACCTAAAAAACTTAAGAATGAGGAATACTCCACCAAAGAAAGAACATTAATGGGGCAGATGAGAAACACCAAAGTTAATTTTCTTATTTTCCATTTTTTTTATCCAAAGAGCCAGGCTTACATACTGGGAGACAAAGCATTTAGAATTAAAAAAAAAAAAAAATTTTACTGCTTTCTCTACAGAATTTGGCATCTTCTAAATAATATCTATTCTGGGGGTATGTGTAGGTCAATAAAAAAAAATCAAATCAAATTCCAAAAGAATTAGAAAAGACCTTTGTTACTAGAATGAAGTAGGTTTCTTTCTTTTCTTTTATTTTTTTAAAAAACAAACAAACTATGAGCTCATAATCCTGCTTGGGTGGTTAGTGAGGGTAAAGGTAATCTTTGTAAGAATTGAGTATCAAGTCTTCTTCCTAACATTGGAAACAAGGCACTTTGCCAAGGTTTGAACCAGGAAAACAAGAATCTTAAGTCACAGTAGACTCAATGAGAATATTCTCTGGAGAAAATCCAATTCCTGCCTTTGATTATGTACCCCGCCTCCGGAGGTACCTTCTCCATCATCCTCACCTAAGGAACCCCCTCCAAGTCCGAGCTCAACTTTGGTGGTGCTTATCCTCTGGTGATCTTCCCACAAACTTGACTTGGGCAGGCCTTACCTCCCTTCCTAGATGTAAATTTCTTCATGTCAGAGAGCTAATTTTAATGACCTATATATCCTACGTACAGAGCCCTAGTGATACTGAGGTTAGGCATTACGTTGTTAACTGCAAGGTCAGCAGTTTGAATCCACCACTGTGCAGGAGAAAGGTGAGGCTTTCTATCCCCGTAAAGACTTACAGTCTTGGAAACCCTATACAGGGTCTCTATGAGTCAGAATCACCACCACCAACAACATATCCTACAGACACAACCCACCATCTGCCCTCAAGTCAGTTCCCACTTTTAGTGACCCTGTAGGACAAGGTTGTTGTTGTTAAGAGCTGTTGAGTCAATTCCAAACCATAGGGACTGGTGAGCTTGAACCTCTGACCTTGTGATTCAAACTGACTTTGCAGTGCAGCGCATTAACCCACAGCACCACAACAGTTTTGGAGACTTTAAATCTTCACAAGAGCAGATGGCCTCATCTTTCTCCCTCAGAGAGGTAGGTGGGTTTGAACCACTAACCTTTCGGCTAGTAGACCAAAGCTTAACCCACTGTAGCATGAAGGCACCTTTGTCAAACACACAACACACAATAAATACGTACTGGAGGGAAGAATGAAGGAACAAGGAATACAGTTTTAAATTTTCTTTCCTTGGGCTCTTTATGTTGTTGTTGTTGTTGTTAAGTGCCATCGAGTCGGGTCCGACCCATAGCGACCCTGTACAGGGTTTCCAAGGGTGTAAATCTTTATGGGAGTAGAAAGCCTCATCTTTCTCCCGCGGAGCGGCTGGTAGTTTCGAACCGCTGACCTTAAGGTTCACAGCCCGATTCGTAACCACTACGCTACCAGAGTTCCTTTGGGCTCTTTATAGCTTGGATTTTCCACAGGAGAAAGATGATGCTTTCTGTCCCCATGGATATTTAAAGCTTTGGAAATCCTATACAGGGTTGCTATGAGTCCAAATCAACTCTACAGCACTTAATAACAACAACAACAACAACCTGGAACTGAGGTTTCTGAAAGTTGCTGGAAATGTTGGGATTTTAGCTTGTAGGAGATTCCATTTTGGCTGTGGACACTTAGACTCAATTGCAGGGTAAAATACAGGCCACCCAATTAAACTTGAATTTCATATAAACAACAAATAATCTTTTTTTTACTATAAGTATATCCCAAATGTTGCATAGGACATAACTATGCTTAAAAAAAAAAAAAAAATTCTTTGTTTAGCGAAAATTCAAATTTAATTGAAAATCCTTTATTTTTATTTACTTAATCTGACAACCCCAATCCAAGTTGATAATTTATGGAGTAATTTTTGCCTTTGAAAACAAATGGTGTGCTTCTGGCTAGGGTACTATCTGTCTTCTTTTGGCGTCATGGTGTGGCGCTGTAGCATAAGCATTGGACTGCTAACTAAAAGGTTGCCAATTCAAACCCACCAGCTGCTCCTCGGAAACCCCAAACAGGGTTGCTAAGTCACCACTGACTTGAAGGCACTTAATAATATCTGCCTCCTTAGGATTTCAGTGTCTGGAAAAACAAAAAACAAATTAGACATGAATTGTCTGTTATTGTTAAGTATTGCCCGAGTTGGTTCCAACTCGTAGCAACCCTGTATAGGGTTTCCAAGGAGCGGCTGGTGAACTGGAGGTCCAAACTGAACTGAACTTGTGGTCCAAACCGACCTTGCAGTCTAGTGCTTTATCCCTGGACTCCCAGACATGAAATAAGGAGACTGAATTCTGATACCAGCTAAAGAGAAGAACGGAGGCCTCTCTCTCTGCCTTGCAGGTCACTATTTGCAGTCTGAGCTATTGTGTGATTACTTGCTTTATCATCTATCTCCTTAGCCTGTAAGCAGACGTTTGGACGATGCTTTTTCTTTCTCTTCTGACCTCCGCAGAACATAATAGAATCCGAGACATGCTGAAGGTGCTCTATAAAAATACCTGATTGATAAGAGTGGGACTGTGGGGAGGGAAAATTCCTGAGACTTCCACCACTTCTCCTCCTTACAACCTCACCTCCCAGCATTCCTTCATCCAGAGCTGAAGGCCCCGGAAACCACATTGGTGCAGAGAAGAGACACCCAGGTGTGCCTGAGGATGCCCTAGGCCTCCTGTGTCTAAGATGGCAGATTCCCAGACATTGAAATCTCATGTCACACCTTAGTAGCAAACCTGGCTCAGTACTATAGTTGTTAGTGACTATCAAGTTTATTCCAACTCACGGCAACCCCATGTGTGCAGGGTGGGATTGCGCCATAGGCTTTCCAAGGCTTTGAACTTTAGGAAGCAGATCTTCAGAGGTGCCTCTGGTTAGGTTCGAACTCTTAATCTATCGTCTATTAGTTGAGTGCTTGATTGTTAAGCTTGACTTGGAGATGTAAAGTCACAGAGAGGACTCCACCTGACTTACCTGCCAAGGACACTCTCCATCTTTACAATCCCTTCCGCCCACTATCCGAATGAGGTGGCTGGAATCCTCTTGAGTGTCCGTCTGATTTACATCGAGTGGGTTGAAGGGATTGTCTGTCGGAGCAAAGCCACCATCCACTTCCTGTTCCAGTGTGGAGTTTGCTGGGAGACTGCCATTGTTGTCATCCTGTGCCAGGGACCTCTTACTTCGTCCGTTGGTTTGTTTCCCACAGGGGAAAGGCTCTAAAAGAAAGAACAGCCCGAGGTGTGTAAGCAAAATAAACATCCCTCAACCACACAAATCACTCTCTGTGTGCTAGACCAGGCAAAGCTCTGGAGTCACAGAGGCCTCGCTGGAAATCCGGTACTGCCGTGTTAGGAAGGGCTGAATGACTTTAGGCAGCTGAATTCACTCTTCTGATTGCTCATCTAAAAATGAAGGTGATAGGAAGAGAGGACAAGAGTGTTCTAAGTGATTGAGGGAATGAATGTGTGCAGAAACTTTCTGGAATGAGGATATTGTTGTCTGACAGTAAGTAACAAAGTATTGCTACAAAGTCATAAAGACTTTATTGAATAAAAATAACCAAATGTGAGGGTAAGTTAACAAAGTATTACTACAAAGTTATGAAGACTTTATTAAGCAAAAGTAACCAAATGCGAAGCTTTTGCTTTTCAACACATCCACCTTCTAGCTATTTATATTTACACTTTTGAAGGTGATGTTTCCATCTCTAACCCTTCCACAAAGAATTCTGCTCGCTTTGATTTCTACCACATCAAACAGCAACTTGGGGATCCTTGAGGCACTCAAATCATGTTCCTTAAGTTTGGGGTACAAAAATAATTCTAAAGGGGCAAGATCGTGTCTGTGGGGTACATGGGGCAAGGTGGTTTCCTAACAAAATTCTCACAAGACAGCTGTTGCTATCCTTGTAGAATGAAGAAGTGCATTATTGTGATGGGGAAAATGTTCAGAGCAACTTTCCTGGTCTTTTCCTCACCATTGCAGTTTTCAAGTTCCTTAAAACTTCTTCCTAATGAGTCCCTTTTGTCCATCCTGTGTCTTTTGAGAAAATCTATCAAGATGACCCCTTTGGAATCCTGAGAAACAGTCACCATAACCTTGTCAGCTGACCTCTCTTCCTGCAATTGCACTGGTTCAGCAGATATCCTCAGAGTCCACTGTTTTGGTGGACCCTGTTTTGTGAAGGCATCTTGACGAGACTGAGCAAGCGAAAGAACATGATTGCAGCCGTCCACTGATCGCAGAGACACATTTAAATGCATTTTGTTTGGAATAAACCTGTGCATGTGTGAACTGGAACCCTAGGAGCAATAGTTTTGCTGATTGGAAAAAGGAACAGACAGATGATAGATCAGGTGATAAGGCTAGACCATCAGCCCAGCAGTCATCAATCCTACCCCAACTCATGCTAATACCTCACATGTCAGAGCAGAGCTGTGCACCATCGAGTTTCCAGTGGTTGGGACCTTCTGGAGAGCAAAGGCACCAGCAACATCCTGTCCACTGTGGAGTTTGCTGGGAGACTCAGCCTGTTGTCAGCCTGTGCCAGGGAGCTCTTACTTCCAAGGTCTTCCTTCTAACATGCCTCTGGATGGACGGGCTCAAACCTCCAGTCTTTCGGTTAGTAGGCAAGTGTATTTATTGTTTGCACTACCCAGGAACTAGGAGCTCTGGTAGCGTAGGAACTCTTGGGCTGCTAACCTCAGGGTCAGTCGTTTGAAACTCCCAGCCGTTCAGTGGGATAAAGTTGAGGCTTTCTGCTCCCGTAAATATTTACAGCCTTGGAAACCCAGTGCAGGGTCACTATGAATCGGCACCGACTCCATGGCACATGACCACCACCCACCACCTAGGAACTGCAAAGAACTGCTGTTGTTATAGTTTCTGAGGTGCAGCTGGTGGGTTTGAACTGCCAACCTTGTGGTTTGCAGTCCAATGCTTCTTCTATACTGCCACACCAGGAGTCAAAGAAAGTACAGTAAAATGTTAATGCTAGAACCCAGGTATTGGGTGGTAAGTGCTCACTATAAGATTCTTCTGACTTTACTGTTTACAATTTTCGGGAAGAGCATTCCAGGCAGAAGCAAGCACTATGTGAACAGTCTGAGGCAAAAGTAGAGCAGTATGGCAGGTTTGTATAAAATTTCTTAAAGAAAGCATTATTGCTGATTGTCATCTAGCTGACTGTGACAAATGACAACCCCGTGTGTGCAGACTACAACTGAGCCCTGGTGGCACCGTGTGATAAGCATTGGATGCCAACAAAAGGTCGGTAGTTCAAACCCACCAGCTACTCCTCAGGAGAAAGACGAGGCTGGCTGCTCTCCAAAAGATTTAAGTCTTGGAAACCCTATATAAGATCACTGGGAAAGGGAATCAATTTGATGGCAGTAGATTTGGTTTCGGTTGATAGGGTTTGTAAATCTGTAACTTATCAGAAATACATTGCCAGGACAGTCTTCCAAAGCACCCATGGGTGGGTTCAAAACTCAAGCCTTTTGTCTAGTCGTTCAGTGCTTAACCGTTTGTACCACCAGGGTGCTATCCTTAAAAAAACCAAGCATGGGCGAGATACTCAGTAAACATCAAGATGCTTTCTTCCTAGAGTATCACCAATTATGGAGGAAACTCCTGATGTGACTCTGTGGGTTAATACACCAGACTGCAAAGCCATTTGAACCACAAGGTCAGCTGTTTAAGCTTACCAGCTGCTCCTCAGAAACCCTATACAGTGTGGCTATGGGTCGGAACCAACTCGACGGCACTTTAACAACAACATGAAGGAAACAAGGCAAGAGAAGAGTGCAAAACAGGGCAGCAGAAGGAGGGTGGGAAGTGATGAGAAGATTAGAGGAAGGAAGGTAGTAGGCAAGGGAGCAGACAGAGGGAGGGCCAGGGCCCGTGAGAGGTGGGGGTGAACAATCAGTAGGAAAAGAGAGGTGTTGGTCTAATATCAGAGAAGTACAACTCAATTTTGTATTTGCGTGTGCTCACAAGCTGGGAGTCGTCCCTTCCTTTTCAGTCAACTCCAGTGAATGAAAGAGCCTGAGTGGAGTCCCAGTGTGGCACTGTGGGCTAATGCGCTGGGCTGCAAAGTCGTTGTGAACCTCAAGGTCAGCGGTTCAAGCTCACCAGTCGCTCCTTGGAAACCCTATACAGGGTCGCTATGGATCAGAACCCACTCAGTGGCACTTAACCACAAAGCACTTTAGACCCTGGAGTCTGTGAACATCAGAGAGTGTGAATTACTGTTATCACTTACTTTTGAAATGCTTAGTTCACACACCCATGATTTACAACAGAAATTTTTGCACTAGGAAGTTGTTCTGATTTTATTTTCTAATATCAAACTTTATTTTTAAGTGATTTGTGGTTACTCCTGGAATTTAAAATATTGCACACGCATGTGAAGAAATGGCCAATTTAAACATGTCTAAACCAGGCCTGGTGTGGTGCAGTTGGATAAGTGCTTGACTTCAGGGTTGATGTGAACTGTAAGGCCAGCAGTTCAAACTCACCAGCTGCTCCTCGGAAACCCTATACAGGGTTGCTATGGGTCAGAACTGACTCGACAAAACCAATTTAAGCATAAGGTTTTGTTATCAATGCAAATATCAATCACATTCTCTTTTACTTATTGAGAGATTTAATGCTATATAATTGAAATAATGTTGCCAATCCACCTTGCTGGGGGTCTTTCTCTTTTTCTCTGACCCTCCACCTTACCAAACATGATCTCCTTCTCCAGCGACTGGTCCCTCCTGACAATATGTCTGAAGTACAAGAGATGAAGTTTGGCCATCTTGGCCTTGTCCAAGGAGCACTCTGGCTGCACTTCTTCCAACAGAGATCTGTTGGTTCTTTTGGCAGCCCATGGCACTTTCAATATTCTCCTCCAACACCATAACTCAAAGGCATCAATTTCAATTTAAATAAATTGAAATAACAGTTGACTGCTGTATTTGGAGGCAATTTTAACAAAATGATTTTTATTTGAATGCTGTATCTTTTCAAGAAGCTCTGGTGGAGTAGTGGTTAAGTGTCTGGTGAAGAACTAAAAAGTTAGGAGACCGTAGGAGCAGCTCTGCGCTGTCCTGCTGGTTGCTCTGAGCCAAAATCAACTAGATGACAATGGATTTTAGTTGGTATCTTTTCAAAGAAAACATTTAAATAGTCTTTAAGGAACAATATTATGGGTAGCGTAGTGGTTACGAATCGGGCTGTGAACCTTAAGGTCAGCAGTTCAAAACTACCAGCCACTTCGCGGGAGAAAGATGAGGCTTTCTACTCCCGTAAGGATTTACACCCTCAGAAACCCTGTACAGGCTCGCTATGGGTCGGAACCGACTCCACGGCACTTAACAACAACAACAAAGTATAACAACTTCTTAGGAGTAATAAAGTCTCTGAATGAAATAAAAGCCTGTCACAAAGAAAATTACATTATGAACTAGAGAAAGGTACTTCTTAAATTTTAATGTGCTCATGAATGATCCCATGGAGAGCTTTTAAAATGGAGATACTGACTCAACAGGTCTGGGGTGGGGGCCTGAGGTTCTGCTTTACTGACAAGCTCCCAAGGAGGTCTGGTGGCACAATGGAAAACACTTGCCTATTAACTGAAAAGGCTGGCGTGGTGGTTAAAAGCCACTCAGCAGCCCTGTGGGTGGAAGACTTGGTGATCTGTTCCTGGAAAAACTAACACCTAGAAAACCTACCTAGGAGCTCTGTAGCGTAGAGGTTATGAGTTGGGCTGCTAACCTTAAGGTCAGCAGTTCGAAACCACCAGCCGTTGAGTGGGAGAAAGATGAGGCTTTCTGCTCGTGTAGATTTACAGCCTCAGAAACCCTATACAATGTTGCAATGAGTTGGAACCAACTCCACGGTGCACCACCACCACCAGAAAACTCTACAGGGTAATTTGGCTTAATCACATGAAGTTACTATGCGTTGGAATCAACTTGTCAGCACCCAGTAACAACAAACAAGCTGAGACCAAAACCATGGGTCCGGGGAGCATGCTTTGAGGATCAAGGAGTAGATTAAACAAAAGTCTTGGTCTTTGTTTGAAATTCTTTGGCCTATTGTGGTCCCAGTACCAGATGAGGTCCTGCATCAGTAGGTTAGGTAAGACCAATGTGGTGCTGTGGGTTAATGCTCTGGACTGCAAAGTCAATTTAAATTACAAGGTCGGCAGTTCAAGCTCACCAGCCGCTCCTAGAAACCCTCTACAGGGTTGCTATGAGTCAGAACCGATCCACGGCACTTAACAACAGAGACAGTGAACTTAAGCACTTCCAGGAAACGAGTCGCTCAGTTTCCTGGCTTGTTTCTTGTCTTCCATGAAGCTGTAAAGCAGACCAAATTTATTAGACGTTGGCTTTTATCAAAGGAAAGACATATACGTGTTATTCACATGGGGCCAAAGGGAATTGAAATCAGTCATTGAGGTTCTTGTGGTTCTAGCTGTACTGGCTGACCCCTGTCCTTCCTCTCTACCTGAAGCCCCTCATGTTCTTGTTCACTGCTTGCTCAATCTACGTGATCATCAGTCTTCATCTACCTAGCTGTGTGCCGGAGAAGAACCGTGTTCCATAGCGTTTCCAGTGGCTGATTTTTTACAAGTAGATTGCCAGGTCTTTCTACTGATGCACCTCTGGATCGACTTGAACTGTTAACCTTCTGGTTAGCAGCTGAACACTTCTCTGTGCCACCCAGGGAGTCCCTCCTAGTAACAGTATATCTCCAGGTTGACTCCATGTTGTATGCTGTTCTACCGGGAACCAGAGCATTTTGCTATCCCTTGCATAGGGACTTCCTCATTACCATGATTTAGAGTTTAATATGTGTCAGGTAGAGTCCTGGTGTGGTACTGTGGGTTAATGCGCCAGACTGCAAAGCCGTTTGAACTGCAAAGTCGGCAGTTAAAGCTCACCAGCTGCTCCTCGGAAACCCTATACAGGGTCACTATGGGTCAGAACTGACCTGATGGCACTGAACAACAACAATGTGTCAGGTACTACACAAAGTGCTTTACCTAAATTCTCTCCTCATGTACCCAAGTAGTTAGGGAATACTATGACGCTTATCTTTCGGATGGACTTCCCTGGGTGGTACAAATGCTTAAGCACTTGACTATTAGTCGAAGACTGGTAGTTTACTCCCATCTGAGGGAAAGTTCACAGCCTTGAAAACCCTATGATGCTGTTGTACTCTGGACGCATGGGGCTGCTTTGACAGGAACATTTTTTCAAATAAGAAGACTGACGTCAAGTCACTTACTTGGTTCCCAGAGCCAATGGACCTGTCTCATTCCAAACCTTTCAGTCTTCATGTCTGAACACAACTACCTGAGCCCAGAGTTCCAGGTGCTCTGGTTCTCCTGGCCCTACATCACCTGCCGAGTCCCATCCAGAATGGTCTGGATCCTGTTTGCCCGCCAAGCACCAGCTTTTGTTTCCCTGAGTCTGAGAGTCTCCAGCCACTTCGACCCCAGGTAACTGTGTTGTGATGTGGCCTCAGGTGCTCTTCCTACCTGTGGAGATGCAGGACTTGCCATTGTCACCCAGGGTGTACCCAGTGGCACAGGAACACACCACCGATTTCCGCTCTTCACTGCAGAACTGGTCACAATCCCCATTGTCCAAGCTGCAGAGTTTCCGGATGGCTGCACAAGACAGAGGCATGTTGACCCTCAGAACATGAGGGAAACAGGCTGAGGCTGGCCGGGGGCCCTCCCTGCCAAGTTCAGTCCCCAGATCCCAGACTGTTAGTCCATAGCCCCTAAGCCCATGAGACAAAGTGTACTCCTCCTTCAAGCCCATTTAAAGAGAGAGTCTAAGTCCGTTTGCACTCTCACTCTCTGGTTCTCCTCCCTTTGGTACCTGTGTGAGCTCTGTGCAAAGCCCTGGAGCAGTGTCCCTTCCAGGACACATGAATAACAAACTGTCATTGCTTCGTTTTGGTAGTTGAATGTTTGTAGCCAAAGTCCCACTGGCTACCCATTCAGGTGGTCTTACCAGCTGACTCCCTTGGGGTGGATGTGTGTCCCTCCTACATCAGGCTATCTGATTTACGTACTTATATTGATTTAATATTAGCACTCCTGTCTGAAAGAGGGTGAGCTCTTTGGAGGCATCATAGTGATGTAGAGGCTAGGGCACTTGACCTCAGAGGTGCCTTCCAACTCTAAGGTCAGTTGACTCTCGATGGAATAAATGTACTAAGGAAAGAGTGTGTAGTGTGCCTTTGGCCTAGCGGCTGGGGAGGAGACGATAAACCAAAAAAACTCCCACCCATTGTTGTCAAGTGGAGTTCCATTCGTGGTGCCCCAAGTGTTTCAGAATAGAACTGTGCTCCATAAGTTCTTTGATGGCTATAAATCTTATGGAAACACATCACCAGGACTTTCTTCTGCTGCACTGCTGGGTGGATTCAAACCACCAACTTTTTGGTTAGCAGCCAGGTGCAAAACATTTGAGCCACCCAGGGACCTGTTGTTAGCCAGTGCTGCAGGCTAATGCGTTACACTGCAAGGTCGGTTTGAACTGAAAGGTCAGTGGTCCAAGTTCACTAGCCGCTCCTTGGAAACCTTATCCAGGGTTGCTATGAGTCAGAACTGATCCGATGGCACTTAGGAAAAATAACAATCTTTAGCCTAGTTTGTGGTTTGGTCCAAGGCTGTGCTAGTTCACTCATGCCATGAAAACTGCTTTGGATGTGAAACCTGGCAAAGATTATTTGTTCACAGGCCCTAGTTCCTAATATAGAAGGATGTTTTACCTCAGGGAATTCCTTTTCAGAGAAGTTCCTTTCCTCAGTCAAATCTCAGCAGTGACCTTGGCAAGTACAATTCAGAAAAGTCCAAAGGCACACAGCATGCAGTGTCTTGTTTACTCTCTGCTGAGGGATTACAGAGTTGGTTGGCGGCAAATCATGCTTTGGCTCTGTGTGCCTCGTGGTTTGAAGTCCAAGTCTTTTCTTTATTTGCTCATTTTGCTAATGGAAACCAATGATAAACACCTACTGTGTGCCCGAGATTGTACTGGGCACTGTGCTTAAGATGTAATGGAGACTGCGTGCTGGCTCTGGTTCTGAGACTGCAGGGAAGGACTGGCAGTGAGGTGGCTGGAAGCACGTGTCATGGTGTTAGGCTGACCCCAAGTTCAGATCTGATCCTTCCCATTGCTGGCCATGTGAGTTTGGGCCACTGATTTAAAGTCTACAGGTCTTACTCTTCTCATTTGTAAAATGTTGCTGTTGTTAGGTGCCATCGAGTCGGTACCAACTTATAGCGGCCCTATGTACAACAGAAGGAAACACTGCCCGGTCCTGGGCCAGCCTCACAATTATTGCCACGCTGGAGCCCAAATGGAGGAGATAAAATCACCTCATATTGTCATAAGAATTAAGATGACCGTATAAAGCTCTTAGCACACAGTGTCTTAACATGGACAAATACCAGGGTCCCAGGGATCTGAATGGACTTCAAGACTGAGCTGAATGCATTCTCGGGCAGTTTAGCAACACACACACACAAACGAGGCAACCAGACTCATCCAGTCTTTTCCCAATGTACACTAAATATTGAATTTCAAACTCACATTAATGATGCAAGCCCCTGGCAGTCTACTTTCCATTCCTACATTGGGATTTTGATTAAAAAATTAATTAAGGTCCAAAGATCAATTTCAAGAGAACATTCATAATAGCCCTGGGGACATGTTTGACATTGCTTGATAAGTTAGCCCAGTGGTGTGCAGGAGAGCTGACTTTGGACTTTTTACGAAGGGTGCACATCTGGTGCTCCCCTTGGGGGAAAGTTCCATTTAAAAGTCATAAAAATGGAATAATAGAAAAGAAATGCAGATCTTTCTCCTTAGAGAAAACTTTCCTAATATTAACTTAAGTTTTTATGAAAAAAAAATTAATTGCCACAATTAGTGAAAGTTCTTAGTGATTTCCAATCCATGTAGAATGAATGAAATGTATCAAGTTGTTATATATAGATAATGCTGGCGATTTAACACTGGTGTGTTTATTGACAAAGGTAATTAAAAGAAGTGGATTGAGACTCTAGATATCTGATCCCGAGGACTGTGACTAACAGCAATGAGAAACTCATTTTACTCAAAGGAGAAGAGTCCATTCTTGTTTATCTACTAAAGAAATGTACGCATCAGGAATCCTCTGCAGTCTCTTTCAAAGGAATATAGGAGTGTAGATCTCTCATTACACCTTAGAATGCATGAAATGGAGGACATATGTTTAACTTCTACCTTTAATTATTGCTATTGCTATAATGGCACAAAATAATAGAGCACAAACTGGACTTTGCAAATTAGAAGTAACATAAGATTGTTCCGTTAGGTATTTAGTTTCTTCCCTCTTTCCTATCTTCTACCCTTTTGGTAATTCTCATCTTAAAGAAGTGTAACTCGTGAGGGAGAGAGAAAGGAATAGCCAGAAATATCACCATAGATAGCTTGAAATCCATCTTCTGCCTATAACTGACTGGAATACCTAAAATGTGGCTATAACGTGCCCAGTGAAGAAGTCTTCCTGCAGAGCCTCTGCATTACATAAGACCATAGGTGGAACCCTGAAACCCATCCAGAATCTTCTGAGGTGGGAAATTTCTGCTTGAAAGGACAAGCAGACCAGTCTGGAGTGCCTAGAAGATCAGAAGATACTTCTTGAAAGAATGACCGACAGGAAAAATACAAAACAATATAGGCAGACTGACTGTTACTACAAGAACAAGCAAATTGCCGCGCAGGAGACATCAAGGCAAGTGGTCGGGACCCTCAGGGCAAACCCCTTCCAAGACTAAGACTCAATGGGAATACATGAGCAGACACGTGCTCTGACTGGTGACCACGCTGGTCACCGATAAGGGGAAGTGAAGGAAAAATAGCAATGAAGCTGCAAGCTAAGCCCTACAACGTTCAATAAACTCCTGTGAACCCGGGTGGAGACCTGGTTGGCCAGCAGTGTGGCAAGACCTGGGGACTCCTGGTCCCAGAGTCAGGGACACAGCCACAGAGGACTAGAGTGGAGAGTGAAACATCCAGCTGATAAGAAGAGAGGGCATCAAGAACACCCACACTTGCAGATAATACCCACTTGACCTGGCTGCAATGACTGGATAATCAGAAGCTCAAAAGAGGGAACAAATCTTTACAGCGAGGATTATTCCCACCTCCTCCATATACAGAATAGACAGGGATGGGCAACTTGGACATTGGCTACTGAAAATGGGGAGTTACAAAGGCAAGAGGTGACTTGGCTTACAAGCTTTCAAGAGGGAACCTAAATCCAGAGGGTGTGGAGGAAGGTAGAATCTCCACTGAGTAGTATCCAGTCTAGACAGGGCTGATGAAAGGAGATGGGGCTAGCACTCATGTGGCACAATAGTGAATAATTACCATCAGGACTGACTGTGAGGTTTGGAAAAGTAAAGGTAGACATTTTGTAGCAAAAGGAGGGGAGTGGTTGACTTTGTAGTCCTGGAGCCGAGGTCCCTGGGACCATCAAGGGAGAAGAGAAGAGCAGAGTGCGGGACCCTACCCAGAGAAGCAGTGACGCCAGAGATGGAGGCAGAGATGATGACATGGAGAGATGGAGTGGCTGGGGACTCTAGACCCAGAGAGGGAGAGGGGCTTTGTGCTGACGACCGGGGGCAGGCTTGCAGGGTATACCCTTTGGTTGGTTGATGATGCATGGAGGAGATTGTAACCATGGCAATGTAATGATATAAGATAGGATGCATGTAAAGCTAATGTTCTCCGATGTAAACTATCACATAATTCATAATAAAACAGCTTAAAAAAAAAGTGTAACTCACATATTTCACAGTTTCTGCCTTCGAATCCTTCCAAGCAGGTGCAGGTGTATTCCCCAAGGCCATCCCGACATTTGCCCTGATTCTGACAGGGACTGCTCTCACACTGGTCACCATCTGCAAAGAAAGGATTTGGAAACCCAGATGGGCAGACACTGTCCATTCTACTGGAAATGACTTAGTTGTGTTGATCTTGGCACACAATTTTCAGATGACTTGCATCAACTTGAAATTGTTCTGTTCCCCTGCCAACCACCTCTCCTGTCTCAACTGCATTTGATCACGTTTCGTGGCTCTGTGTACGTGAGGCCCTTCATTTGGGTGTTTGGTGATGGTCTGCTTATTTAAATGGATTATTGATTGAGCTTTCCGATTTTTGCTGAGATGTTTAAAGTATAGTTTCAAACAGAGCAATAAGCTCATGATTACATGGGACCAGCCAGCAGGACCCAGCTTGGCATTTGTTTCTGGGTTGAGCTTTGGAACAAAGATGTTAAGTTTCTCTTTCTAAATAATTTTGAGGTAAAATGAGAATGCAAAAACTAATGTCTAGTAGTACCATGGAACATCACATTTACTAGTTGAATTATACAAACTAATCCAGTGTTAGGTCAGCTTATTTTGAGACCTTAATTTCATACTTGAAAATGAACTCCTGATAAAATTAATAACTATGTCACATGATAAAAGTATTAAATCAAGGTATTAAACTTTTTTAGTGACTCAGTATTTCAGACTTGATTTTTTCTGTTTCTACCTAATACATTTAGTTTTTTAAAAAATGATTATGGAATTTGATATCTTTGAATAAGAATGAACCACCTTAAATCCTTATCGATGTGAATAAACAACAAAACTAGAATTGCTTGACTGCCTGACAATACCGTTATGGAAATATTCAGAAAGGAAAAGTTTGAAACGAGTAAGGTTTTAAAGAGAGTAGGAACGAAGTTCAGGAGGGATTTTAAAAATTCAAAAATATTTCCTTCCAATTTCATGTCTTAACGAATACTTCTCACTAAATAATAAAATAGAAAACTTATCTTACCTTTGTATTTATTCCAGAATTCATTCTAAAAAGGAAAATAGATTTAAGCACACATCAGAGAAAACACATTTTACATCCATAAAATGATAACCTAATTGTGCCTGAATAGATACTCTCTCTAAACAAATGTTAAGTTTTAGAATGAATTGTTCTAGAATTCAACTTAAAAGGCAGAGCTATTCAGATTTTCTTTTGCACAGATGTGGATTCAATCATCTTAAATACATCATTTTGTTGAAATTTTATTTTCAAATGAATCACCAAGAAGTGCATTATACCAAAAACAATGCTTTGCTCTCTTTGGTATCCTCAAGCTGATTAGTGAATGATTTTTAGTTAAGATGTCTGAGTCAAAGATTCAATAAAGGATCCAATGTTTGGTGAATAATCATTATGTTAGTTGAAAATTTTAAATTGGAAATTAGTTTAAAACTGGGCATTTAGAGACTATAACAAGAGTAAGTAAAAAAGCAGTGCTCCAAAATCATACCAACATTTATTAAACAAAAATATCAAAATGTAGAGTCATTGTTTCTCAGCATCTCCTCTATCTTGGTCTATACAGTTCTGAAGGTGGTATCTCCATCTCGGTGTGGTGTCCCTTTTCTTGATGAATTTTCTGTTCTTCAATTTGTTGTTGTTGTAGTTGTTGGGTACCGTTGAGTCAGTTCCAACTCAACTTATGACCAACTGAATGAAACACTGCCCATTCCTGCACCTTACTCACAATTGTTGTTAAACTTGAGCCCACGGCTGTTGTCACTGTGCCAACCCATCTCATTTGAGGGTCTTCCTCTTTTTCTCTGACCCTCTACTTTACCTAGCATCATGTCCTTCTCCAGGGACTGGTCCCACCTGAAAACATGTCTGTAATATGAAAGATGAAGTCTCGGCATCCTGGATTCTAAGGAGCATTCTGGCTGTAATTTTTCCCAACACAGACTTTTTTTTTTTGTTCTTCTAGAAGTCCAGATACTGTTAATAGTCTCCTCCAACACGATAACTCAAACACATCAATTTGTTTCTGGCCTTTCTTATTTATGGTCCAACTTTTACATGAATCTGAAGCTATTTCAAATATTATGACTTGGGTCAGGTGCATCTTAGTCCTCAGTCTGACATATTTGATCTTGAACTTTTTAAAAAGGTCTCATGCAGCAGATTTGCCTAATACAAGTTGTTTTATTTCTTGATTGCTGCTTCCATGAGTGTTGATAATGGCTCCAGTCTTTTCTCCTTTTATCATGATGTTATTTATAAGTTCATTGGTGAGGATTTTTGCTTCCTTACTCATACTGAAGCCTGTGGTCTTTGATCTTCATCAGTAAATGCTTTAAGTCCTCCACTTTCGGTAAGCAAGGTTATACCATCTGCATACCACAGGTTATTCGTCTTTCTCCAATCCTGATGTCACACTCTTCATATAATCCAGTGCCTCAGATTATTTGCTCAGCATATAGATTGAATAAGTATGGTGGAAGAATACAACCCTGGTGCACACCTTTCATGATTTTAAAATATTCAGTGTTCTCTTTCTTCTGTTTGAATGACTTCCTCTTGGTCTATGTACTGGCTCTTCATGAATGCAATTAGTGTTCTGGAGTAATCATTCTCTGCAATGTTGGCCATTACTTGCCATGACTCACACAGTCAAAAGCCTTTATGTAGTTGATAAAGTTCAGATAAGTATCTTTCTGGTATTCTCTGCTTTCAGCCAAGATCCATGTGATGTCAGCAGTGATATATCTCATTCCACACCCTTGTCTGCATCTAGCATGAACCTCTGGCAGTTTCCTATCAACGTCTGTTGCAGCTGCTTTTGAATTATCTTTAGCAAAATTTTATTTTCATGAGTTATTGATGCTATTGTTGGTTGATTTCCGCATTCCATGGGTCACCTCTCTTTGGAATGGGCACAAATACGGGTCTCTTCCAATTAGTTGGCCAGTTAGCTGTTTTCCAAATTTATTGGCACAGATGAGTAACTATCTCAACTGCTACATCCATTTGTTGAAGCTTTTCAATTTCTATTTCATCAATTCCCAGAACATTTTTCTTTGCCAATGCCATCAGTGCACTTTGTGCTTCTTCCTTCGGTACCATTGGCTCTTGATCATATGCTATCTTTTGAATGGTTGAACACCATCCAGTTTTTTGATACAGTGACTCTGTGTATTCCTTCCATCCTCTTTTGACACTTTCTTATTCAATATTTTGCCCATAGAATCCTTCAGTATTTCAAGTTGAGGCTTGAAGTTTTTCTTCAGTTCTTTCAACATAAGAAATGCTGAAGCATGTCCTTCCCTTTTCTAATTTCAGGTCTTTGAACATTTCATTATAATACTTGATTTTATATTTTTGAACTCTCCTTTGAAGTTTTCTGTTCTGCTCTTTAAAACAGCAGTTTTCACATCTGTGAGGGACTCAAATCATAGTCCATTGAAATGTTCTTTGAGTTTGGAGAACAGAAATAATTCTTAAGAGGCAAGATCAGGGATGTTGGGTGGATGAGGCAAGGTTTCCCAATGAAATTCTCATAAGACAGTCCTTGGTACCCTTGAAGAATGAACAGGTTGATATCATGATGAGAGAAGGAAAAAAAAAATCCCTCAGATCAGTGTTCCTGTTCTTTCTTTCACCAATGTAGTTTTCAATTTTCTTAAAATTTCTTCTTAATAAGCCGACATGATGGTCCTGTGTCCTTTGAAAAAACTCTAGAAAGATGACCCTTTGGAATCTCAAACAACACTGAACAGACTCTTGTGTCTTGAATTTAACCGGCCCAGTTGATCTCTTCCAAAGCTACTATTTTAATTGGGATCTTTTTTCTTTTTTAGGCAAATACTTCATTGAAAAATATTTATAGGTATTGTTTTCATAGTGGAATTCTCCTCAAAGAATATCGCAGATACAGCCCAGTATACAGAGGAACGTCTTAGTCTGAATTGATGGAAGAGCTTCTTCTTTATCCCAGTTTATGAGTAGCAACAACGGCAGTTACCTTTTGATGATAGAAAGCCTAAATCCAGACATTTTTGTCTGTAGATGAGGCATCAGAGAGCACTGAGGATGGAGAACTCAGAGTACAGCTATCACTGAGACCAGGTTGATTTTAAGGTGTGGGCTCGCCATTATTTGTTGGTTGCTAAGACATTGCCCATTCAACAGGAATGCAGTTGGTATGTTCATCCCAAGCCACTTGGCCTTCCCCAAAGTAATGAATCTTTTCACCAACTTCTTATGCTTCGTCACACATTCAGGCTATAATGTATTATCTTCTAGGTCTGTGGATGGGAAAATGCAAGCTGGTAACAGGAAGGGAGAAATCATACTCCTGGGAGTGCGCGGCACCCAGCCATCCCAGCCCTGTGTTTCTGTGGGGAGAGCTCTACCATGGACCACACACCATCTGCCACCAGAGGTTTGCGGCAAAAATGTCTCAACTGAAATAGGAAGGCAACATGAATTCACAGGCTTAGGTTGAAGCGCTCTTGAGGAAGCTCTTGCCCAGAATGCCCTTGTGGCCTCCCACAAGGGCATTCTGGGCAAGAAGAGACCACTTCAACTATATGAGCAACCTCCTGTGTCTTCGTAGTCTTTCAACTCTCCTGAAACCTTGCTCTCTTGGTCTTGTGTTTCCTCAAACTTGGATGCATCTTGGCTTCTTGTGGTGGGCTAGGAATATCCTGTGTTTGCTCAGGGTAAGCATATTTCTGGAGCTCCAGATAAACATCTAATTTTTGGCTGTCTGTACTCATACTGAGTTGCTGACACCAGTTTCTCAGAGATGTACAGGACAAGAGGCAATATGGTTGGCAAAGGAAGATTTGGTATTTTATGACTAGCGTTTCAGCTAGCTTTGGGTTGTTCCTTTGGCTGAGGAAGAAGAACCTTATTTGTCCTAGATGTCTTCTGTTTGACCTCTGCTGTTGAAGGAGCACTTGGCTCTATTTTCTGCTCTTGATTAGGTTCCTCTTTAACTGGAACCAATCTAATTCCTTTCACATACACTCTCAGTCATTTTCAGGACCACACAGGGAAAGCAAGGTTGGCCATGTCACAGATATCTGAGTTTACACCTTGTAACCTGAAGGGTTTCTAGTCCGTTTCCTCCATTTATAAGCAAAGGTCTGGACCTTTTGTGTTGAAAGCATCTTAAAGAAAGCAAGACAAGTACATTACTGAGAGAACTTGTTTGCAGCCATCTGCTGATCCCAGAGACATGTTTAAACAGGTTTTTGTTATAATAAACCTAAATAAATTGGAATCCTACTAGCAGCACTTTTTGACTTACCCTCATACTATGTTATAATGTTTATAATCTAAAAAATATATATGTATATACATATTTAACA